GGCAGGAGAAAGAGTGAAGATAAAGCTGTGAGTGAGCGCGGGAAGACGGAGAGGCTGGGAGGCGACCTGGCCCAGGGTCAAAACCTCGACTAAAAAGGCCAAAGAAAGCAGGAGGCACAAACTTCTAGTTTCTTTCTTTCAAATACTGATCCAACTGTTTTGCACACAATCTTCCGCTAGTGTTTGGTATGAAACTTCTGTCCCTGAGAGGAGTGATGCAAGCGTGGATGAGAGTAATTCCAGCCCTTGAGGAATTTACACCCCCATTAGAGAGACCAACAGAAGTACAGAACGATGCCAAGACCAGGCAGGATGTAATAAGTCCAGTAAGAGCCACACAGACAGTAAATGCTCAAAACAATGGCTTCTGCTCTCCTCCAGCGTCCAGCCTCATCCTCTGATTCACTTGAGCGCTGCTTCATCCCTCTGCCCTAACAACTGCCAAGAACAGTCCGTTACTTCTCTACTTACACTGACTCATGGTTAAAATCTCTCTGAAAAATTAGTGAGAGACTTTTTGTGAAGAAACAATGAGATGATAAAAAGGAGTATGATTTTTTTTTTTTTTTTGAGGTACACGGGCCTCTCACTGTTGTGGCCTCTCCCGCTGTGGAGCACAGGCTCCGGACGCGCAGGCTCAGCGGCCATGGCTCACAGGCCCAGCCGCTCCGCGGTTTGTGGGATCTTCCTGGACCGGGGCACGAACCCGTGTCCCCTGCATCGGCAGGCAGACTCTCAACCACTGCGCCACCAGGGAAGCCCAATTTTTTAACATCTTTATTGGAGTATAATTGCTTTACAATGGTGTGTTAGTTTCTGCTGTATAACGAAGTGAATCCGCTATATGTATACATATATCCCCATATCTCCTCTCTCTTGCGTCTCCCTCTCACCCTCCCTACCCACCCCTCCAGGTGGTCACAAAGCACCGAGCTGATCTCCCTGTGCTATGCGGCTGCTTCCCACTAGCTATCTATTTTATATTTGGTAGTGTATGTATGTCCATGCCACTCTCTCACTTCGTCCCAGCTTACCCTTCCCCCTCCCCGTGTCCTCAAGTCCATTCTCTCTCTACGTCTGCGACTTTATTTCTGTCCTGCCCCTAGGTTCTTCAGAACCATTTTTTTAAAGGGAGTACCTTTTTACAACTTTATTATGAAGAATTGCAAACGTTGACGGAAGTGCAGAGCACAGTGCAGAGAATCCTAGCGCACTCATCAGCAGCCTCAACACTTCTCAACACAGCCTGATCTTTTTCACTGCGCTACCTCTTGATAATTTTGAAGCAAATCCCACAAGGCATTTGATATCATGTGTGATATTTCAAAATACCTCTCTTGAAGCTAGGACACCTTAAAAAAAAATAACCACAATACCAATATGACACCTAAAAAAAGTCAACAATATTTCTTGAAATATTTCATCAAATATTCAAGTGTCTTATAAATGTCCTAAATGTTTTAAAATATTTGATAATTTATGCCAGAAACAAAAGCAAAGGCACCAACTTATTATATAATCAATGGTATAAATGAGAAGGCAAATGACTCACATGAGGCCCAAGGATGCTCATGAACTTGTCTACCTACAGCCCTTCCTGGGTGCTAGTGCTGCTTCAGGAGCGCTACATATATTATCTCACTTAACCCTAGGACACAGCTGAATTGCCAAGAGCACCATTTTATTGATGACGAAACTGACGCCCAAAGAGGTTATGTAACATGTCCAAGGTCACCTAGCTAACCTAGATGTCTATCAGCTGATGAATAGATAAAACAAAATGCAGTCTATCCATACAGTGGAATATTATTTGGCCATAAAAAGAAACAAAGAAAAAGAAAAAACAAAGAAAAAAAAAAAAAAAGAAACAAAGTACCGGTTTATGCTACAACATGGATGACACTTGAAAACACTGTGCTAAGTGAAAGAAACCATTCACAAAAGACCACATACTGTATGATTTCGTTTATATGAAAGGTCCAGAAGAGGAGTATCTATAGAGACAGCAAGTACTGGGTTGGCCAAAAGGTTTGTTTAGTTTTTTCCGTAAGATGGCTCTAGTAGTAGCACTTAATGGTCTTTAACTTCATTTGAAACAATTTTGTTAGATTGTATGTGACAGCTGTCATATCAGTGTGCACTTAAAAAAAGACATCAAAATTGGTGAAATTTTGCGTAGCCGTTTAAATATTGAAGATGGAAGAAAAAAAGCAACATTTTCGGCCTATTATGTTCTATTATTTCCAGAAAGGTAAAAATGCAACTGAAACGCAAAAAAAGATTTGTGCAGTGTATGAAGAAGGTGCTGTAACTGATCGAACACGTCAAAAATGGTTTGCGAAGTTTCGTGCTGGAGATTTCTCGCTGGAAGATGCTCCACGGTTGGGTAGACCAGTTGAAGTTGATAGCGATCAAATCAAGACGTTAATTGAGAACAATCAACGTTATACCACGTGGAAGATAGCTGACATGCTCAAAATATCCAACATGAGCACTGAAAATCATTTGCACCAGCTTGGTTACATGAATTGCTTTGATGTTTGGGTTCCACATAAGTTAAGTGAAAAAAAACTTCTTGACAGTATTTTGGCATGCGATTCTCTACTTAAACGCAATGAAAATGTGCCGTTTTTAAAACAAATTGTGACAGGCGATGAAAAGTGGATACTGTACGATAATGTGGAACAGAAGAGATTGTGGGGCAAGCGAAATGAACCACAACCAACCCCACCAAAGACCGGTCTTCATCCAAAGAAGGTGATGTTGTGTATATGGTGGGATTGGAAGGGAGTCCTCTATTATCAGCTCTTTCTGGAAAACCAAACGATTAATTCCAACAAGTACTGCTCCCAGTTAGACCAACTGAAAGCAGCACTAGACAAAAAGCGTCCAGAATTAGTCAACAGAAAACGCATAATCTTCCATCAGGATAACGCAAGACCACATGTTTCTTTGATGACCAGGCAAAAACTGTTACAGCTTGGCTGCGAAGTTCTGATTCACCGGCTGTATTCACCAGACATTGCACCTTTGGATTTCAATTTCTTTCAGTCTTTACAAAATTCTCTTAATGGAAAAAATTTCAATTCCCTGGAAGACTCAAAGGCCCCTGAAAGAGTTCTTTGCTCAAAGATAAAAAGTTTTGGTAAGATGGAATTATGAAGTTGCCTGAAAAATGGCAGCAGGTAGTGGAACAAAAGGGTGAATATGTGGTTCAATAAAGTTCTTGGTGAAAATGAAAAATGTGTCTTTTATTTTTACTTAAAAACGGAAGGCACTTTTTGGCCAACCCAATAGATTAGTGGTTGCCTAGGGCTGGGGAGAGGGGTAGTAGGGAGTGACTGCTAATGGCTATGGGGTTTCTTTTGGGGTGATGAAAAAGTCCTAAAATTGGATTATGGTGATGGTTGCACAACTCCGTAAATAAACTAGAAACCCCTGAATTGTACACTTTAAATGGGTGAATCGTATGGCATGTGAATTGTACCACAATAAAGCTTTTTTAAAAGTAAATTACCGAAAAGCTGAACATTTCTCAAGCCAAGGAGTATTTATTGACCATCTACACAGGCATATACTAAGTTCTATGCGAGTCACAAAACAAGTATAAGACAAATACCCTGACTTCAAATTGCTTGCAGTTCAAGAGAAAAGGCACATATGCAATATATTACAATGCACTTTTGCTTTATGAATGTGTACCTTTTTTTTTTCTAAGGGCAGTCAACTATCTGAACCAGGTTTTCTGAATCATAAAAGCCACTGGCTAGGGCCAGATGAACATACAAGTGGTGATAAGACCAAACCTGCTTCCCTTCCCTGCTGGGGGCCTACAGAGGGTTATCTTGTGAGAGAGAAACCTACATACAGGGTTCTTAGGGTGCTGAAGCTGAGCCTATTCACTTGTAACTGAAGTAATGTGAGTACATGTTTTCTAACTAAACAGAGGCCAGGGCAGCCTGACAAGCCTAGCCTGAGCTAAGGCCACCAGGGGGATGCCTAGGGTAATCAAACAGCACAGGTTTTCCTTAGCTTTAGCGGCTGAAGATCTGGTCTGTTCACCCACTGGGGAGGCTGCCCACATGGGGCACCGTCCCTTGGCCCTCCAAGCTCCAAGAGCAAAGGTCACTCTGCTTGAGGCAGGCCTGAGAGCTCTGCCAAGGAGACAAGGCCCTCGTCTGCCTCCTAGTCATTTAGCTACACAATCCAGAAGAAGTAAGAGCAACAGAGATCCCAATGCAGATCGGAGAGAGCTATGGTCCTGAAACTAGTAAGGTGTGTGTTTAGATAAGGAGAGGAGGGCCACAGCAGGAGACACAATCTAGGAAAGGGGACAGTCTGGGGATCCGAGGCTGCAGAGAATAACCCTAACACCGAAGAAAACTGAAGAGGTCCAGGAACCTGGCGGATCACTTACAACCAGGAAGGCTTTCTGGAGCTAGCATTTAACTTAAATGAAAAATGAGGAGACTGCTGTTCAAATTCCAAGTGCCCAGGCACTAGGAACACATGGCTCTAGGGTTCTGTTCTACCCTGAGGCTGCTGGAACAGAGTCCAGCTCCACATCCAGTGAACCCGTGAAGCCCAAATGCCATGTAGATTCTAAAACCTGGAGTGCATGTCAGAAAGATATATACATTTTACAAACACGTGAATTCAGCTGAATTTTATAACAGGGATTTGCAGTCTCTGAAATTTTCAGACAGTGGTGGCAATTGAAACTTAGACCCTTAAGCTAACAAATATTTACTGTTTAGCTAGAACTATAAGAAAAGCCTTAGTCAATGAAGTAGAAACTCCGATTTTGAACATTACTAATTATGCATCGCTTCCTGAGCCACCTAGAAAGAACAAGGCATATCTGGATCAAATGGCTTGGGCCCAGAGTGGCCTGATGAACCAGCAAACAGTTCAGCGCCATAACCCTAGAGCCAAGCTGCCTCAACGAAACCACAATCCTACTGGAACCACAACCGCTAACGTTACATTGGCCTCCTTACCTTTCACAACATCAGCCACGTTGCAAGTGGGATCAATACTTCCTATGTGTTTGGGATGCGCAGGATTGGTGTCACCGCCGAACAGTAGTGCTAAACAAACACAAGGGAAAAGGGAGAGGATTAAAAACACAGCAGGCTAGGATGGTCAGGCAGAGAAATATGGGGCTTGTAAGTTTTGAAAAGATTTTCTTATTGTGAAAACCGTTTTAGCATCCACAGTGACTCAGAGCAACAGAATCCACTCAACTGGTGGGTGATCAGCTATCAGACAACTGAGGAGGAAGGATGTGCTGTGAAATCTGCCAGGTGCAGTTAGCAGGTCCTAAAGCAGTGACATGGGCCGGGTACCCAACCCGCTCTCCCCAACACAACGTGACTTGGATGAAAAAAACTTCCTTTCATCCTCAGCCAAGTTTACCCACCTTCTCAGCACTACCCTAGACATTTATTCCAACATTCACTAAATATTTAGAAAATGCAGTCTGCACCATTAGACCAGGCTTGCACAGGGTCTTCACCATGAGCACCTCAAATGCCTCCACTGTGGAGCTTATTTTTCACCGTACTACACACGAACGCTATTTGTGCAAGCGTTTTTAAAAGTACATTTAACTACTTTCATAATATACAAGGTTTGCAAAATTTTACTTCTGAAAAAAACCAAAAGGACCCCCAAAGAAAAAAGTAATCTGAATTCAAATGTTTATATGTGTAGCTATTTTTAAATCAAACAAAAATTGGGAATAACTTAGGCTCCACAAAAGGAGAATGTTTAAACAAAATAGGTAGAGATTTTAATTATGAAAAAGGACAAGTATGGGCATTAGGCCAATACATAAAGTGCCAACTAATTAAGTGGAAGAAAACCAAGAGGTGTGCAAACGTAGTCAACGACCGAAAAACATGTACGTATGTATGTAGACACACATATGTAGGTCAGAAAGAAACTGTAGTTATCTAAGTAGTTTAAATAGTATTTGGGTTCTCTTTTTTCCCCTATAAATTTCCTGTAAACTGTCAAACATTTACATTTTAAACAGACACACATTTAGAACAAACCCACATTTAACAGCTGCATAACATTTGGTTATCCAAATAAAAACACATTAGTAAAATAAAGATGCTCTGTCCATTTTCTGACTCAACAGAGAGGGTGAATTAGACGCTAGACACCTGGATGCTTTTTCATAAGAATTATGAAATCCGACAAAGAAACACGCTGAAAATCAGTTTAAAAGTTTTTGTGAAGAGAATTTTAGTTGTTGTTTTTTTTTCTTATCTGCTTATCGGCCTAGAGAGGAGACTAAAACTCTCAATACAAGATTAGGGTTTGACAAACCCGCTTAATCTGATTTCACTGATCACTGTGAAATAAAAGATCCATGCTCATATTGCCAACTTGTCAGTTCAATATTGTTAGTATCAATGTTTTTAAAACCAAAAAGGAAAACATGTGACATCCTGAATGAAGACTAGAACAGACCCTAGAGACACTGAAAGTATTCAGAGATGAACACCAGGCTGCCATTAAAGCCGGTCCCTCACCCCCACCAGGAATGTAACAGGAGAGGCTTAAAAGGCAGGCAGTGGTCCTGTCTCAAATATGAGCACCCAAAAAGCCTTTCAAGGATTTCTTTTAACAGAGAGTTCTAATGATTAGCTTTTTCACAGATAGGACTCACTTAGGAGAAACTGAACTAGAAATGAAATTTCTAGACAAAAATGCAGATCAGTAAATTAAAAATGAAGCAACAGGAAAACATTTCGGAGAAATCACTCTGGTTATCTTTTCAAAACTGGACCAAGAAAAGCCAACTTACTGTGCTGGTTAATAAGCATGCGGAAAGAGATGCGGTTGGTATAAAACCGGTCCAGAAAATACTGGATGTTACTGCTAATGAACGGATCAAACCCAAACTTCTCCTTGTACTCGATCACTCCTTGGGCCATTGTAGGAACCACATCATTGTGTCTATTTCTGACTTTAATTAGAACTTGTAGAAAGCTGTGTGGGAAGGAAAGAAAAAAACGGTCAAAATGGTCAAAATCTCATGGGCTAATGTATAAACTTCCCAGGTCTATCTCAGTACTATTTACCTGTTGGTATTTATTTTATAAGGCAGAGACATCATTATCATCATAGGCTACAAGGAAGTACTCACGAGAAACTAAAGTATTACTCAGTTTTTGCTTGAAACTTTCTACAGAAAGTCTTCCTTCAGAGATACAAAAAGTAGAAGGTGGGCTTCCCTGGTGGCGCAGTGGTTGAGAGTCCGCCTGCCGATGCAGGGGACGCGGGTTCGTGCCCCGGTCTGGGAAGATCCCACATGCCGCGGAGCGGCTGGGCCCGTGAGCCATGGCCGCTAAGCCTGCGTGTCCGGAGCCTGTGCTCCGCAACGGGAGAGGCCACAACAGTGAGAGGCCCGCGTACCGCAAAAAAAAAAAACAAAAAAAACAAGTAGAAGGTTCTAGTAAAGAAAAAAAATGCTCAAATGCCTTTTTAGGAATCCACTGACTTTCCAGATAAGTGATTACTAATAAAACAGATTCTATAACTGTTTGCTGAATACATAATTGCAGAATATATTAATATTTCTTCTGACAACATGAAGACAATCCCAAAAATCTCCAAGGATTTATTATGGAGTCTTAAAGAAATAGCTTCCATGAAGAAATAATGTCAAACTTTTTAAGAATAAAATTTTGAAACGAATTTCTCTCAGCAGTAAAATATGGTGACGAAATGTAGATAGAACAATGGTGATTAAGACAAACCTATTCAAGAATTCCAGTATATTACTGTAAAAGTGCAGAGGGAAAAATATATTGAGAATGGTAACTAAGAACAGAAAGACAAGTCAATGGAACCAAATAAAAAGCCTGGAACCAGGATCAAGGGTGAATGAGTATGTGTGTGTAAAAATTCAGCATATCGATAAAGTGACAATGTAAATCAGTAGGGAAACAAATTAGTTGGGACAGCTGGCTAACAATTTAAGTCACACCTCAATTTTAAACTTTAAGCCCCAAAATGGGTTAAAAGACTTAAATGTAAAAGGGTGAAATTGTAGAAAAGGAAAAAGAAAATCAGCTGAATAAGTATATAACCTTGGAGTAAAGGGAGGCTGTTCTAATACCAAAGGCAGAAACCACGATGAAACAAGTAATAGGGCTATGCAGGATTTCAGCAATTTTATAGGGGCACACATTATAAAGTCAAGAAAAAGTGAAAGCTGGGAAAAATATATTCACAAGAGTTACTATTCTTAGTGAAGGAAAAGATGACCACCCTAACAGAAAACTAGGCAAGGGGCCTGGTATCAATAGAAAATGTACCAGAGGAAACGCAAACACCAACAACTTCACCTTCAAAATAATAAAAGAAAAGCAAATTAAAACAATGCAACGCTATTCTCCGCTTACAGACTGGCAAAGAATAACCACTGTCAGCCAGAGTGTGGGAGCGTAACTGATGCATTTCTAGGGGCAATCGAGCAGCCTATATCAAAAGCCCAAAGAAAGTCATTCCACTCCCAGGAATTGATTCTAGGAAAATAACTGGACAAGGCCAACAGCTGTATTTAAGAGCTGTTCTTTAGAGCACTGCTTATAGTAGCCAGAAAACCACGAACTATTCTAAAAACCCAATGACAGGAGGTCAAATCACATGAGTTATCTGCAGATGGACCACTATGAAACTACTACTAATGGTGTAGATCTATAATGCTGACACTGTTATTTCTGTAAAACACACACACACACATTCTACACATATAGAAATATACATGCCTAGTTAAAAGTGTAAATGGAAGGAAAATGCTAACAGTGGTTGGCCCCCAGTAATGGAAATTTGGAGTAACCTTATTTACCCAAATAGTCTTATTTTTCTCAATGATGAAATACTTCTGTAACAAATACATATGTGCAAAGACAGCAAAGATGAATAAATCAACTCAGAAATTATAAGGTCATAATATTCTCAAGAAATTTTCTAATGGACCATTTATCCTTTACATAATGCTCTTCCCACCATATTCATAAATTAAATATTACTAAACTGAAACAATTCATTACAGTAGAAAAGTGCCTCAACTTATCTGAGGGGAGGAGACTTGCTTCAATGGTTCAATTCTCAGACTACTTCCCCAATCTTCTGGGGCTCTTCTAAACTTTATCATTACGACAAACATCCTTGTCCTCTAAGCTACTTTCACTTTACTTAAGTGGTTTCCCTGCCCATGACTGCTATATAACCTCTCACCGATAAGAAAAGGCTGCTACGATGGGCAGAACTCTCCACTCCTTCCTTCACTGCAAACTCGGGCTTCTACAATCCCAAGTCTCTTAACTAGCTTCACGGCAACCTGGACAAGTTACTAAACGTCACTGAGCGAGAGCTATTATCATTACAATCTCGTACACATTGGATCCAGCACTTGGCAGTTTCCAAAGCAGGCTCGCGTCCATAAATCGCATCTGACTGATAACCTGTTCCAGAAACTGAGACAGGACTCCAGGAAACACACAGCAGAAATTTAATATCATAAACTTCCACAAATCTATATCCCAAAATTTGAAGCTATAGAGGTCAGTCCTAATTTGGAGGATATCAGCCAAACTGTCACTAGCTAATGACTTTTGAGAAACCAAACTTCTGAGTTCGATTTATTTAACTTTGATAACTTAAATGACAGCAAGGGCTTACAACAAGAAAAACATTACAGCTGGGGGCTCTAATCCAATGCCTCCCTTTCCACATTTCATAGACCCATTAGCAAAACACCTAGCGAAGTATAAAACAGGTCAGGACTTTTTTCCCTTTGTATTTTAATCTGTAACTACATTTCAGCTAGCTACTCATGACTCAGACCAGCAGTTCTGGCAGTATGGTGCACTGCAAAGAGCGATGTACCAAGGAAGAGGAAACATGATTTACAGATCCAGCTCTGCTCCTAACTAATGTTACAATCTTGGGGAAGTCAGCTCACATCTTGGACCTCAGTTTTCTTATCTGTGAATTGAGAGAGCTGGGTTAAATGCCTCCAGCTATGGGCTCTTATGGAACACGGTGCTTCTTAGTTCTTTTTACGGAACAGCTACATGTAAGGCATTTGGTGTCACAATGCTGTGGGTCAGGTTTCTACTTAGAAAGGAATTCCTCAGCACAACAGGCCTGCCATATGCATTCACTGATGGGTACATGAAAGAGGAGGAAAGTAATGTGAAGGGGACACAATTTCTCTTGGGGGTGAAAAAACCACACTCAGAGCTAGGGTCAGCGTTTCCCGGTTAAATGAAAAGGGAAAAACCAGAAATATTTTCCATCAGCATGAGAATTTAGCAGCCTTCGTGCCTAACAGCAGCAACAGAATTCAGAATAGCTGTTATGTTAATAGCATACTCTTTTACGCTGCTCCAAAATAAAAGCATTATTGATTCTCTGAGCTCAAATGTAATATCGCATTGAAAATTTAAAAACAAATTGTAAAGGACTAAGTACATAAACTCATGTATACACAGGGGCCAGTGCATTCTTAAAACTACCACTAGGTGGAACATTTACTGTAATATTTACAGTGAGTGTCCAGCACCAGTTCACCAGAAGACAAGGATTAAGAATTAGATCATGAAGCGTAATTGGAAGGGTCATTATTCCCTTGGTACTATGTTAAATTCTTAACTCAAAATTTTAAAAAACTGCAACGTTGAGCTGTTACCCATTAAGAAACCTAATGCTTTCGTCCAAGTTGTACTTCTTGGTTCTTAATGACATGAGTTCCATTTACCAAAACATTTTTTAACCTAGATATTTTGACTTTCAGGTAAGTTTGGTACCATACTTACTTATCCAAGACGTGTGGATCCTCAGGGCTCTTATTTTCATATTCTAGAAGTTCAAGAAAACTCTGCATATACCTGAAAAAAAGAGATACTGTGTTAGTTGCCTACCCTACATCCATCCTCCTTTCCCCTTTCCTTAGGAGTACGTTAAATTTCCACCCAGGTATCCATCCAATCCCCTCCACCCGCCATGTAGCCCAAGTGCTTCCGGGGAAGCTGATACCATGCAAAGCTCCTGGGTGGCCCTGTTTTTCTCTGGGTAATCCTATTTCTCTTGTCACTAATTCCTAATTAGTCCGATAGTTCTGGCCTAAGCCTGTCACTGAGTCGCATTTCCCTGAACACAGGGATTGGCTCAGGAATGGACATCACTGCCTCGATTCAGGCCACTAAAATAAGAGAGCAGACTTGCTGGCGGTCTTTGGGAGAGAAATTAACTTGCTCTGCTTTTGGACAATGTGGTCCATGGATGTAAAGCCTGGAACTGCTGCAGCTATTCTGTCAGCAGGAGAAAATCCAGCCAGAAAATGAAGCCGACCCCATGGAAAGTAGGGCCTTGATAATCTCGTGAATCTCTGAATCAAACCAACACCAAAACCTCATCCTATGGCTGGATCTTACAGTTACAATTTATTGCTTAAGCCAGGTTTAGTTGGATTTTCTGCTACTCCCTAACACACATGTCCTAACTGATACATCAAGTCTACAGTTTGATTACCAAAAAAAGTGCACAGAAAATTTAAGAAGCATGTGTGTGACCCTGAAGTGCATGCTAAGAACTTAGAACTAGGGGAGTTTCCTGGCGGTCCAGCGGTGCTTTCACTGCCATGGGCCTGGGTTCAATCCCTGGTTGGGGAACTAAGATCTTGCAAGCTGCATGGCACAGCAGGAAAAGGAGGAAAAAAAGAACCTAGAGCTAGAAATAAAGAAGGTTCCTTCTCAGAGTTAACCTAGTTTCATCAACATGTAATGAAGGAGAAAGAATTCCTCTTAGGCCCTCAGAAACAGCTTCTGGATTAAGAATACTGACATATCTCATTCAGGGCCAGTATAAGAAATAATATGTCCAACAAAGATCTGGAGGACAGAGGAAAAATGGGACTTAGAGAGGCACATTACAGCAGCAGCTACAGCCAGACTGGACCTGCCGGATCTGGTGCGGATTCAAAGATTCCAATTACTTAGAGGTATATGAGCTCTGCTTTGGGTCTTAACATGTCCTGAAAAAATTATCCCTTATTCTAATTATTTCTAATAATTAATGACTACTAATCCTACTATCCCACTGTGGATAGAGGATGAGGGCACGCCAGTAACTAAAAATGACTGTTAAGCTTATAAATAAACAGGAAGGACGTTTTATTAATCAGCCTCACCTGAACTTTGTGACAACACATGATACTGAAGTATGTTCGTTGCTGGGTATATTTTTTTTTAAAGTTTCTGGGCATATAAGGCTATGAACTAGACATTGTTAAAATCACTAGGTTAAACCACCCTGAGAGGCCACAGTCAGCCATCCACAGTGATGCCCTCTGCCCTGCCACATATCAGCAGAATTTCAGGCAGGCATCCCATCCTTCCGGAAGGGGACAGTTCATTTAAAGGGCAAAGTCATAAATGGAAAGGAGTCAAAGATTATGCTGAGCTTCCTGGCCTGAAAGTCAAGAAAGCAAGGAGAACACTGACTGAGGTGGGCTTCACGGCCTGTTATACTTAAGATTTGCTTTCAAGAGGAAAAGGAAATGGCAAGTAAACACAATGCATGATCCTGAACTGGATTCATAAATCAGGGGTGAGGGTAGGGATTGCTTAAAAAGAAAAGCACTATTAGGACTAGTGATGAAAGACAGTAGGGTCCACATATTAGATAATATTACTGTATCAATGTTAAATTTCCCAAATTGGATAATCAAACTGTAGTTTTCTAAGAGTTGTTCTAAGGAGATACACACTCAAGTATTTAGGGGTAAAGGGGCATGATGTATACCATTAACCCAAATGGTTCAGAAAAAAATAATGTATTCTATGTGTGTACCATACATATATAAATATATTGAGAGAGGGAGAGAGAATATGAATGAGAATGATAGAACAAATGCAGCCAAATGTTAACAATTAGTGAATCTGGGTGCAAGGATATGGGAATTCTTGCTACTAGTCTTGCAAACCCTTCTGTTAAATACGCAATTATTTCAAAATTGAATGTTTAAAAAAGAAAGGGAAGAAGTAACATGCACAAGTTTGCAATGGCTATGGGAGAGAAACAGTAAGGAGACCCAAAAAAAAAAAAAAAAAAAAAAAAGAGCTGACTCAGTAATGTGAGTCAGCAATTCACTCTGAAGCCCCTGAAGTGACTTTTACATAAGTGATAGTAAATGTTTGACTGTCACTGCCACCATGACCGGGGACTTGAAAGCCAGCTAGCCTATCTAGAATTCCCAGCACAGTAGCTAGCTCCCAGGAGTGCTTATATACTTTCTGCTGGAGATCTAATCATGGTCTTGGAGCAATAAAGAAGTCTCATGCAAACAAGTACTCGCTGTTCTGAAACAAGCTATGAGTTTACAGTAGAATCCAAGTGACCTTAAGATGGGAGCCATGGTCGCCACCTCTTTTGAGCTTTCTGGGGTCCCGGGGCCCCTGCGCCTGCCTCGGTGAGGGGCTGCTGCTTGTCTGGGACAAGGACGGACCACCCAATAGAGTGTTTCTCAGATGATTCATTCTCAACCCTAAGAATTTATTATAATCAGTATTACTGAGGAATGACTGTTGAATGGCCATCTTTCAGTAGCCCGGCCTCCGTTAATACTCTAGATGCCAACTAATTCATGGTTCCGCTCTCCCCATATCTGTCCACATCATTCCCATCCCCTGAACTGCTCTCCCTGTCCCTGTCAGTTCCACCCCCCACCCCCCCCCCCGCACCAAGGGGCAGCGCAGACCACAGTCGGCACCTCCCTCCCCCAGGCCCCCATGGCACCTCCTCAGTGCTGGCTTGAGAGCACTTTGTGCATCTGGCCTCCTGAACCCCTCCAGCTTTCTCCACGGGGACTTCTTTGCTTGTAGAATACAGAGGAGACAAGCGAGCGCTTCTCAAATCTATGCAAATCCCTTTCTAAAAATACACCACCTGCTCTTCCCTCCCACCACTCACCCATCCCACTCTGCCTACTGAGTGGGCAGTTCAGTCACAAATTCAACTTCTTCAATTAGACAGCACATGCTTTAAGCATCAGAGCTACACCTGACTGAATGCTAACATACTCTGTGAAGATACTTCAGACTTTTCATGGGGGAGATGAGGTACAGCAGCTAGCTCGTATTTTTCACATGGGAGGTTCCCCTTTAAATGACTTAATTTGTCCTAAAATAAGTACTGTCTTCTAAAAACTTCTTTAAAAGGAAAACAGAAAAAACACGTCAGAGACTGGATCAAAGCAGCAACATCCCCCTATCCAAAGAATTGCAGATCTGCTCACATGGGACACTGCATTGCTATTCTTCTATATTTTTCTGTACTTTCCCATTTTCTTCAATGAAAAATCACATTTATAACCAGAAAAAAAATTTGAGAAGTCAAGAAAGTGTCTAGTACAGTTGAAAAGTATTTTCCTTAGGACAATTATACACTGTCAGTTAAAATAAAAAAAAAAACCCAACTTTTAATTACCTGGGAAACCCGGCCATCCTGAATGACTCGTCCCCACAGAAGCAGTACGTGTACTTTTAGGGAGAATGGTCCCAATGCCAAATGTTCAGAGCATTCTGGGTAGACCCATCTGAAGCCACACTATTTACTTACCAACTCTGAACCAAGCCCACCGAAGGGCGGTTAAGCAAGTTATCCGGCAGAAGATTAACTTCTCTCATTGTGTTAGCCAGGCGCACAGGAAGCTCCTTTCGTAGGAACATATATGAAGTTTTCTCACATGCATTATCTCTCCCTATTAAGAGATGAAAAATGTTCCATGATTTTATAATCTAACGGAATAATAAAATGTTCTCATGGTAGCCCAGTGACTGGTCGGGAAGATAAAATTAAGTAATATTGCAGTCTCTAGTTAAATATTTATCCTCTGAAACAGCAAGTTTAAGAAAATAATTTAATTAGAATAGAAAAAGAACCCTTATTCCAAGAGGCAACCTTGAAAGCAGTGTTTTTCCCTCAGCACAAATACATCCTTAGTGTTACCAGTGGCGGTATAAAAGTAACCTGGGACAGAATCTGAATTTGTTTTCAAATGAACGCTGTGGGAAGACTGCCAAGTACAAAGGTAGGAGAACATGTAAACCCACTCCTGTTCACGGGGGTTTCCAGAAGGCAAGAGACCCATTCATTCCACAACTATTCACCTACTGCGGGCCGACTGCTTCCTAAGATTTTCTTCAAATGTGTTTCTTCAGGGACCAGGAAGCAGCCACAGACCCCAGCTCTGACCGAGACACAGGACTCGGGAGGTGCCCGAGAAGCCAGCTCACAGGTGGCCTCAGAAATGGAGGGATGGACTACAGCATGTCCGAGAGGACAGAGATACAGTGTTGACTAGGAAGACAGAGCTCAGAGAGGGAGTCTTCTGTTGACTGCCTTGCGCTGGCTGTGCACACAATGTACGCAACGAGGGGCACAGTGAGAGAAAAGGTACCAGGCCACCTGAAAGAGGAACCCGAGCCCTTTCCCCGGCTGCCACGTGACCAGAGCAGTAACACGACTGGTCTTGCCCCCAAACTCCAACCTTGCTGTAAACCCAGTGATAGTTGGGGGATAGAGGATGTGATAGAAAAGACATGAGCTTTGGGGACAGAAATGTGCTTCAGCCTCGACTTCTCCATTTACCCTTGGTAAGCGTCTTAACTTCTGAGGCTCAGCGGCCTTCAGCTGTAAGATGGGGATGAAACGTCAGTTTTTGTAAACACTACATGTGACAACATATATGGAGCCTGACACAGATCAAGTGTTCGGCGAACATTAGTTCTTCTTCTGTCCTCTGTGATACTGATGGGTCTGTCCCAACTCTCTCACATTCGGACAGGCCTGCCTGATGCCCCATATTCCCTGGAGGCCGCTGGGAAATAGGCAACCTCGGGGCCAAGCCCAGAGAGAGAGAAGCAGGGCTCATCGAGCGATCTTCTCCTCCAAACTCTCCTCTTTCTTCCAAATGTGATGAAGACAGCAAGAGAGATTCAGAAGTAAATCCATTCTAACACTTCCAGCCAAATTCTTTCCTGTCCTCACGGAATAAGACTGGAAATAAAAGAACCCACTGTTTTTTTTTTTGTTTGTTTTTTGTTTTTGGCCAAACCGTGCAGCATGTGGGATCATAGTTCCCTGACCAGGGATTGAACACGCGCCCCCCTGCACTGGAAGCGCGGAGTTTTAACCACTGGGCCACCAGTGAAGTCCCATAGAACCCACTTTTGAGAGTCATCTGCAGAACCTCTTCCCTCCACTGCCCCCTGCCCCGCTTTCTCCATTTCCAAAAAAAGTCAGAATAAAAGATTAAATTCTTAACCCATCCCTCACTTACCTCATTCTAAGTGAGTAGTATATTGAAGGCCTCCAGTAAATCTTTAATCAATAATTCTGCCTTTGCCCTTTCTCCTAAGGGAAATACTCCAAAAAGCAAGAGGAGTGTAATACCTCAGCAATGACCTTCCAACACTTACTCCATACACATTCATTTGGCCTTAGATGATTAACACTTAAGGTGATTCAGGCTGCTTTAGATTATATATATATATAATTCCTAAAATGTTCTGTATATAATTTTTATGGATGAATCATTTTAAGTGCACTAAAAATGCTGGTATTTCAAAACTCAGCATGAACCTCATTATAAAATGAAGGACCTATTATCTAAGTTAAAATGTGCATGTACGTTTGCACATACCAGGAGAAATACCTTGTACCCTGGTTAAATAGAAAGGACATTTAAAAAAAAAAAAAAAAAAAAGCACAAAAAAAATGATGGCGGAGAAGGAAGTTAGGGAATGTGGAAGAAGCGAGAACCCTGTAGTGTTGAATTGGAACTGGAAATAGCAGTGTGACCTTAGGATTCTGAAAAATTATCTGAGTTTTTAGGGGTACTGAAAGTTGACATGCTTAAACTTCCACATCCAGAGCACACGAGGAGCAGCACATCAACAGCATGGTGGGGGGCGTGGGGCTGGGGGTGGGAGTAGGGTGAAGAGGGAGGGTCAGGGAAGTGACAGCGGTCTGGCAGGTGCCAGGTGGTGAGAGGCAGTCAGGTGCACGTCTCTTCTGGAAATCCACAGGGCTAGACGGCTTTCAGAATTGAAAGGTTTTCAGTTTTAGAAAGAGTACGTGCCTCCATTGCGTGAAACAGTCTACTCTACAGACACAGTACAGCTACAGCGCAATCTGTGAACGTCGACACTGAGCAGGGGAAGACCACGGCCCCCAGATCACTGCAGGCTAGGTTTTGCCATGGACTTAGTTTGGGCAGCAGGTATAAAAAAAGAACTTCAATTTTTTGAGCTTTTTGGACTTCAGAATTCAGATTAAAAGACCGCAGTCCGGCAGGACAGTAATGCCGAGATCAGATGCCAGAGTTAGACTTGGCTTTGAATCCTGTCCTGAGCATCCACTGGCTTCGTGAACACCGGCAAGTGTCATTACACGTCGAAGCCTCGGTGTAACCATCTATAAAATAAGAACAGGACCGATTTCGCAGAGGTTGCAGCAAGGGTTAAAAAGCGCTCAACATTTAACACGAACAGGTTCTTAAAACTGAGAAGAGGGGGCTCATTAAATCGCAATCACTAATGATGCCGGCTTGTATAAAGCAGCGCAGCCCAAGGCCATGGGGTGCCAGATCAAACAGTCTGACGCTAAGCCCTGAGAGCGTGACTGCATTCTGGTTCAGCGCGGTCGCCTGTGCTCATCTGATGATTCTACATAATTAAAAAAGGATTAAAGTATGTTCCGTGTCCCTACCATCCAATTTTATTTATTTTAAAATAAAAGGCCTTGGTGTTTCCATTGGTCAACTCTGCACTAACTGGAAGACTCAACTAACTACTAGGCGTGGCCTGAAATAACCAACATTTCAAGGCAGCATTTTATTCTAGGCTTCTTGGATTATCAGCCTTTCATAAACTAGTGTTGAAAGAAACTTTGTCTCTATACCCCCCCACCTCCACCCCCGCCCCCACCCCCGTGGCACTGATTAGACTGCCTCACCTGTGGGAGTGTCTCAACGATTTACTAGAAGAATAGAGAATACTTTCAGAAGTTTGTATTTTTAAGAGAAAGAGTACCTGCAAAATCTCAGGTTTTGCCTCCTACATTCTAATTTAGCTTTAGAGACGAATTCTTTGTACTCAGATACCTTAATTATACATCAGCTTAAACAGGGGGATAAGTCTTTTTTAGTTAATTAGTAAGCCTAAAAATAAATATGAAATGCCTGATTTGTTTTAACCTTCCTGTGGTTTTCCTCATATAAGTTGAAAGTATTTTATCTTATGTATTAATGTTAAATATTCAGTTTAAATCAAAGGGTTCAAACAATCTTGTTTTTAGTTAACCTACCAAAAAGAAACTTTTGGTTTTAACTGGATGTCCTCTCAAAAGGGTTCTGTTTTTCTAAGGCTTCTGGCATATTGAGTATTTTCCAGTTATTCTTCCCAGTCATTTGACTTCATTTTTTCCCCCGCTTACTTGGCTTCTCTGCATTCCTTAATTTTGATTTTCTATTTTTATTCTGCATTTCTCCATATACTTCATCTTATTCAAATTTACCGATTAAAATTTTCCCTAGTATCAGTTCAGAAAAAGACGAAGAAGCAGTGTGTGAGAGGCATGGAAAATTCTGATTTCGTGAACGCAAATAAGTCACTGGCTTAGATACATTTGTGTATTTCTTCAGTTTTTCTTCCTCTTTTGATGACCCTTTAATTCTCTTCTGTTTTGTTTGTTTTTCATACTTCGCCCTTTCATTGAGAAGTCAGAGACAATTACTACATTTGCAAAAGGTACGACTGGCTTTGTCTAGAAAGGTTCTAAATGGCTTTCCAGTTCACCAAGACACAGGATAAACAGACACAGAAACACAAATGACTTTTTTTTATAATTGGGGTATAGTTGTTTTACAATGTTTGGTTAGTTTCAGTAGATTCACAGCGAAGTGAATCGGCCATATGTATACATATATCCCCTCTTTTTTGGATTTCCTTCCCATTTCGGTCACCACAGAGCAGTAAGTATACACAAATGAGTTTTGTTTTGTTTTTTTTCCATACATGACTTCTGATTTAATACGGGGAGCCCTCTCAGGGACGGTCTCTGATAAGAAAGGAGCATTTGAGCAGCCTTCTGAGAGCAAGAGTTCCGACATTATTCTTTATACCTGGTTTCCACAGTGGCATATATTTCTGGTGAATCTCTAAATCCTCTTTTCCACTAATTTACAGGAAGCAGAAAAAATAATTATTTCTTCGGTTAATGAAATGACCTGATAATGTATCTTATAATTAAAGCAGAGAGCTGAGCACATAACTCCCAAAAATGTAGTCTCCTGCCTGGATTACTTGAAGGCTATCTTTATCCACATCTTTCAGCTTTAAGGCTTGGTGGGGAATGTTTTAGGAGGGTAAGCAAGGGAATCAGGGAGTGGAAAAGGAGGGCAAAAAACGGAAAAATTACTAGCAAGGCACTAAAACCCAACAGAATGATCAGCTCATTCTGATAATGCTGCTTTTTCTAATTACTGTCAATTAAATGTTTGAGTTTACAATGTATTTTTACCATTAGCCATGTTAATATGGGTAAAATATAACTGAGAAAATAATATTTCAGGGGCAGCTCTTTGATTTTTCTTCAGTTGTATTTATAAGATTTCAATCTCCTGACAACACTGAATTTTAGCATAAGTAATTTATTCTCAAACTTACCAGGGCTATAAACAATAATTAATTGAATAGT